GATTTCTGGTTTGACAAGCTTTTAGGGATCACCCTGTGAAACTTCTGGTAAGGACTTTGGAAAGGCCTCATTGTGGCTTTCAACTCCCACATATTGTTCAATTTTCTTGATGAAAAAATAACGTCAATATAGGGGTTGGCCTTTTCGATTTATAACCCTGTAACAGGGTGGCTGGAATTCGAGCCTCATCATTGGGATCTCGTGAACCGTGAGAGATACAGGGTCGGTTAAATTATGGCAAAGTTGCGCAATTTCATGCCTAACAAAATGCCGATCTGAAACTTGGAAAATTCCAAAAACTTTCGGAGATATCCGAAAAAAATCGAAATTCCATAAAATCGTTTTTATTTTTTTCTGGCGTTATTTGAAGAAATTAATCAATATAAATAACACTTTATCAGGGCCACTTTTTCTTCCCTACAACATGGCGTTTTCAAATTTGAAATCTGACGTTTCGTCTTCCAGAAACCATCATCAACTTACTTTTTTTAAATACGGACCTGGATTTTTTATTTCATTTTTTGTTACCTTCAGATAGCCCAAAAACTATGAGCTATCACAAATTTCGATTTTCAAATGTTTCAATGACTAAAATTCACAGTTTCTTTATTTTTTCCAAATATTCAATGCAATTACTAAAAATGGAAAAGGCGGCTATGCTTTTAGAGATGAAAAGTTACAACCACTCGTCGAAGTTTAACAGTTCAAGGTTTTGAATAATTTGCGCGATCAAAAATGGTGTTTTCCAATTCAGAAAAACGTGATATGGTCCGAATTTATTATAGTGCTATAATAGAAACTCGCAAATTTCATGTGAGAGATATTTACAGCAATACTTCGAACGACCACAACCGCATTATACGTATTTCAATAATTTGGACAAGAATTTGAATCTTTATGGTAGTTTTAGTAAGCCCCGAAATGCGTATGGAGTAAGATTTGGAGCTGAAGATGAAGGAGCTGTTATAAATGCGGTAAGTTTCGAAAAGAAATAATTTATATTTGCGATAAATTTGATCGAGAAATTTTGAAGGTTACGGAAAATCCCCGAGGTTCCACACGACAATTTGCTCTAGAATTGAATATGCCTAGAAGCCGAATTCAGAAGATTCTCAAAAATCATAGGTATCATCCTTATAAATTACATGTTAGCCAAGAACTAAGACTAAGGCTTGATAGAAAATTGCAACAGAATGAAGATTTTCTAAATAACATTATCTGGACTGATGAATGCAATTTTTCTACGAGCGGCCTTTTCAACAGAAATAATGAGCATTATTATGCAGTGGAAAATCCGCACCAAAATCAGCAAGTGCGAAGGCAGGGACGGGCATCATTCAATGTCTGGGTAGGGCTGTATCGAAACAGAATCTTGGGGCCAATTATTTATGATGGGAATTTAAATAGTGATCGGTACCTTCATTTCATCCAAAATTCAGATGCTCTTTAAGACGAGCCGTTAAATATACTCCAGCAACTATGGTGGCAACAGGATGGCGCACCACCCCACAATGGAAGGGCCGTTACTCAGTATCTAAGTGAAACATTTCACAATCAGTGGATTGGAAACCAAGGAGTGGTGCGCTGGCCTGCAAGAAGCCCCAATTTATCCCCGCTGGATTACTTTTCATGGGGATATTTGAAAAACCGTTCATTTAAAGATATTCCACGGGACATAAATATTTTACGACAAAATTCAATGTTTGAAATAACAACCCTACGAGGTAGAAGAAGAATGATCCAGCGCGCGCTTACTGGCAATTTGCGAAGACGCATACGAAGATGCCAAGAGGTGCAAGGGGGACTATTCGAGCATTTACTTTAGAATTTCATTTTGTTCTTATTACAATTTAGTTACATAGTTCACTTATTTTTTACCCTTAGTTATATTACTGATGAATAATAACTCGAGTAATAATGTTTCAAAAATAGTTTCGGATTAAATATTTTGAAAAAATAGAGAAACTGTGAATTTTAGTCATTGAAACATTTGAAAATAGAAATTTGTGATAGCTTATAGTTTTTGGACTATCTGAAGGTAACAAAAAATGAAAAAAAAATCCAGGTCCGTATTCAAAAAAAGTAAGTTGATGATGGTTTCTGGAAGACGAAACGTCAGATTCCAAATTTGATAACGCCATGTTGTAGGGAAGAAAAAATGGCCATGATAAAGTGTTATTCATATCGATTAATTTCTTTTAATAACGCAAGAAAAAAATAAAAACGATTTTATGGAATTTCGATTTTTTTCGGATATCTCCGAAAGTATTCGGAATTTTCCAAGTTTCAGAACGGCATTTTGTTGAGCATCAAATTGCGCAACTTTGCCATAATTTAACCGACCCTGTATCTCTTACGGTTTACGAGATCCCAATGATGAGGCTCGAATTCCAGCCACCCTGTACATGTATTACTAATAGCATTCCTTTAGGTCTCAGTAGTTTCGCTACTAGTATGAATAATATTGTAATATAAGGTCCTATATATCAACACGAATGGTGAATTATTGGATTGAAATAATTCATCCTTGAACCTGAATCGCAAATATTTTCTATGTTCTCTGTTTATAGATAGTGAAAAATATGCGTCTTTCGAATCAATTTACAGACATAACAATTCGGGGTCAGTAATTTTGACACTGACATATAATCTTCCAGCTTGAAATTAGAAGTTCTGATAAATGTGTTCAACTGTTTTGAGATTCAAAATTAATCTATTTTCTCCGTTCGGGTTTTTTCTTAAAAAATAGGATTGTAAAAATTGGCACATTTGGCTATGGCCCCTATTCCTAACAACTCTTGTATCGCATTCTCGTAGTCACTGAGTTGAGTTTGAGGGATATCAATTTTTGATTGTTATAATTGTTTGGTACTATATAGCCTGGTAACGAGTTTTTCTCCTTATTCCCAAGCTGAGACAACGTTATCCTCGGTGATTTTTTTCTATTGTTTCAGAAATTTGCGAAGTGAACCAGAATATTTGATTGTAAATAAAAGTGAAAAGCTCACAGTCATTTCCACCCAGTGTTCATAAAAAAAATTGAACAACAATGGTAGATTTCGGGAGAAAAACAACTACTTCCCTGGCTAATGCCACGCAGGATATTGAATTACATCCTCCCGAAATCTATGCATCGACTCGTTTAAACGAATACTGATACAAGTGATTCTTTCCTGAATGCCTATTGATTTCGATTAAGCCAGGCCGCTAGACAACCACAGACCGGTTTCGAGCTCTTTGACTCTCATCAGTGCAGTGTAGTCTCCAGCCAGCAGTCCTTTTTCTCCCGAAATCTACCATTGTTGTTCAATTTTTTTTATGAACACTGGGTGGAAATGACTGTGAGCTTTTCACTTTTATTTACTATTTCATTCCACTGTGAGCATTGTGGCTATTTCGTAGTTCATATTACGCCAGTCGGGCTGCCAGCCACTCCCGTATATGAATTTCAGTTTTGGAGTGATTCTTTCCTCGGTTCTACTCAGATGGCGTTACTTTCATTTTATCGATGAAAGACGCCTCGGGGTGGATATAATGCCAACTTGATTTTTGTTTGGCTAGGCTTCGCTGAGTCGGCGGTCTTAGGACTGCTGGCTGGAGACTACACTGCACTGATGAGAGTCAAAGAGCTCGAAACCGGTCTGTGGTTGTCTAGCGGCCTGGCTTAATCGAAATCAATAGGCATTCAGGAAAGAATCACTTGTATCAGTATTCGTTTAAACGAGTCGATGCATAGATTTCGGGAGGATGTAATTCAATATCCTGCGTGGCATTAGCCAGGGAAGTAGTTGTTTTTCTCCCGAGATCTACCATTGTTGTTCAATTTTTTTATGAACACTGGGTGGAAATGACTGTGAGCTTTTCACTTTTATTTACTATTTATTTACTATTTAATGTGTCTGTTGGTAATACTGGTAATAACGTGTCTAGATGTTGGTACTCTCCTCTCTTGGTCGGTCGTTGGTTAAAGTCCTTTCTCTTCCTTCTTTCCGTTCATTCCCCGTTTGTGCCTATTGAGGGCACTGGGCAAACATCCACATCTCAGGGATGTCCATACCCTATGGCCTATAACAACACGGGTACATTCTATGTAGTAATTCCTTGGAACAGCCTCTGTTGGCACACAAGACGGTCTATAGACATTCCTTGGCTTCCGAAAAGGATCCACCAGGAAAGTCCCTTCAGTACGTCCTAGAGATATACGGCGCTACCTACATCATCTCAAGGAAATTTCATGAGTATTCTATCACAATAGTTAATCCCAGGGACATTGCATTGATATTGTTACGTTATTCGGGTGCAGAAGCGAACACGACACTATTTATTTTCGAACTGATTTATTTGAACTGAAGAAACACTAATTTATATCGAACTTATAACTACTATTTATGTAAAACTATTTATATCACGCGATATATAACTGTCTCTCTGATACTCGCTGCTTAAATAACTGACGGCAGTTGTCCGGCCGTTTATATATGAGATCCCTTGGTAGGCTTTGGTTCGAGAACGTTCTCGAATGATTTTCCGTCTCCTTCTTTTCGTTCTAGAAGCTTCTTGAAACAATATCTACCTCTCTAATTGTTCCATCGATTGTTTCCAGAACATTCCAGAATCTTTTGTCACGTTATTTGTCACCGCGGCATATATTGAGTTTTCGGAAATATGCTGGTGCATGTAGGAATCATTGGGAGCTTGGAGAACAATCTGAGATGCGTGTTACAGGATGCTCGTTGTACTCCTGTGGACACTATCTGTTCGATTTACCTCAGTCCATCGTGAATATTTAACAATCGATTCGACACGGTTGAAATGCTGTTGAATATTCATGATGAACTGAGGTGAATCGAACAGTTAGTGCTTCCACAAACTTTTTTGTGACAAAAAATAACAAGTAAATAAATACTTCTCGAATCCTTCTATAATAATAAGAATAATATTTTCGAGTTTAATTATACATTGTCTCTTCCACTGTTTATATATCATTTCATAGTAGTCACCATTAAATGATAGCTTAATTTCATTCATATTATTATAAATATATTTTGTAACTCAAGTTGGTCTCAATTCTTCTTTGCATTTGCTTGTTTTGCTTGGAGCTCAGCCTCTTCTTCTAGAAGCATCTCAACAGCCCTGGCTCTTCTTTTTACTGTAGGTACCTTAGTCCACCATTGTTCCATGGCTTCTTCTTCTTCCCTGTATATAGGTATCCGTTTGGATAATGCGTTGACTAGCTCTAAAGGGCTAAGTGGTTGAATTCGTAGCTGAAGGTTCCTTTTAACTGTCATTACTTCTTCTACTGTACTTTTGAGTGAACCTATAATGGAATGAAGACGAATCAACTTGTTATCAGTAATATAAGAATGATTTGAGATTATGAATAGATTTATATCTGATTTCTCAGCAGTAATCATTTGCTTGTCCATGAAATGCCTGATATATTGAAGTTACAGGACATTTTTAGTAGGTAGGTATTTATTATGTTGTGTTCACAAAGGTGTTTCTGTTCCCTCTACTCAGAAATTGTCAATGTTGCTGTAGTCGCAAGTTCAATGGGAATTCTGTAGTTGTTTAATGTAGAATATTGAACAATATCGACCACTAAATATGATGAGCTTATCAGCTACATAATATAACATTTGCGGTATTTTGTAAAATATAATCAGAACGTCAAAAAAGCTTCCAGAATAATATTTTCGAGTCATGAAAGAGATCAAGAAAATCAGAAATGGAGACAAATATAACAACTATAGAAAACAAATTCGTTCTTCAAAAAGAGAGAGAAACTCTAAGTCATTACTACAAACGAAAATTGTAGATAACGTGAGAAAAACAACTACCTTCCTGGCTATTTGCCACGCAGAAGATCGAATTACATCCTTCCAAAATCTATGCAATAATTCGTATAGACGAATAAAATTGCAAGTGTTTCTGTTCTAACCGCCGAGCTGCGCTTAAGTGGTTCAGGAACGCGTGACTACCTGCAGACCGGTTTCGAGATCTTGGCTCTCATCAGGGCAGGGTTGTTCCAGATAGCATTCTTGACCGCTATCTGGTGCGAACCTGATCGTTTCTATGTTTTAGGCGTCATTTGCGTGTAGAAAACGGTAACAGGTGGACGTCCTAAAGACGTCTGACGGCTACATCATAAGTGCATCATTCAGAAATTACTCAGAATATTCCTGAGACGTCTTTAGGACATCTCTGGAAGATATTCTCAGGATGTTCTGAGACATCATTTGCATGTAGGAAATGGTAACAGACTGAGAGCTGGCTACATGAGTTTCAACGTGACTCGGTACAGTCACAATTTTTTTCTGGAATGGTTCCATTTATGGTGTGGAACACTAATTCGCGAGTCTGCCTGGTCGGTCTGGAGGACTTATGTGGGGGCGAGCGGGGAAAGTTGCAGAGTTTCGAAGGTAATCGACGTCATTAGTACAGTCATGAAATTTCGTGTACATATAGTATGTGACGTCAGAAAGATAGTTTGATAATTGGCAGACCGTTTTCCGAGGGCTAAAGTGCCGGCAGACCGCGTCAAAGTTGCGAAAAAAATCGAAAAATCAACGTGATAAGATAAAATCCTGAAATTAGGTGTACGTATTGATCATGTATCAACTTGTTCTTATGCTGAATGGCAGACCAAAGAGTGTAGGACAACACCATGGCAGACAGCGATAAACCTACAGGGTGGAAACATTTTAATGACCAAAACTCGAGATATCGATAAAACTTGATGAAATCATAGTTTATCTTCCTATTATAAACATATGCTCTAAAACGATTCATTATTGAGATATTGGGCGTTGGAATATACATATATACATATATTTTTCAATTCTCAATATTTCGATTTTGTTGATATATATATGTATCACTGATATTGTGTAGGTACACTAAGAACATCGGTATGTATGAATAGATTCGATCGACAAACAGGATAGAACTTATGATAAAATAACCAACAAATATACCTTAAGTGAATCAGTTCAAAAAATTATGATCACCTTTTCGTAACTCCCTGCACAAATAATATGAAGCGAGTGTGAAAATCTCATATATAGTTTAACCTACGCTTCACCATCAAATTCCATCAGGATAGAATTCTCTGAAAAGTATAAGCGTAAAATGATTTCCATATATGGTGCAAAGTTTTCAAACCTTACTGTACATATAATAATTGTCGTTTTGACATATAATGAGAGAACAAATAAGCTACAAGGTGAAATTATTGGAAGTAAATCAAACGAAATGAAAAAAAAAAGTAATGCATGTTTCCCAAGGCCTAAACACCATTTTTCAATCTTCTTCGGGAGAGTTACGAAGGAGACATGAAAATGATCAAAATCTGTTTTTTTGCGTATGGAACAAAAACGAATAGATTTTATCAAAATATTTTTTCACATTATAGTTGGCCTTGACAAACTCCACATTCGGTGTCATTTAACCTACCTCGTATCTCTCACCGTTAAAAATATACCCATGGTGAGTATGGTAAGTGAGACACACTGTATATTATATATATGTATTTTTCAACGCCCAATATCTCAATAACGAACCGTTTTAGAGCACATGGTTATAGGAAGATATACTATTATTTTTTTTATTCGTTTCTTTAACGTCGGCCTTTTTCTGCTACTGAGGCTAATCACCGACGCCGGTGAGCACACTATACCCCCAACTGGAAATTTTGCCGAATCCTCTGGTGTTCCAACCAGAGGTAGGGATCTTTAACGAGTCCAACATCCATGGCCTCGGGACCGCCGGCTTAACGTCCCCTCCGAAGGACGGCATATCCGTACCATATCTTGTGCTCATTGATATGGTAGCTGTAGCTATGATATGCTATTCCGCTACAGATGTACGGGCTTACGCGGCGTTTCCTCGAATGGTCACCCATCCAAGTACTAACCGCGCTCGACACTGCTTAACTTCAGATATCGAACGGCTAGAGCCTTACCTTAGAAGCTAGGGCGACGCCCATGTACTATTATTTCATCGAGTTCTATCAATTTCCCCAGTTTTGGTCATTAAAATTTCTCCACCCTGTAGGTTTATCGTTGTCTGTCATGGTGTTGTCCTCCACTTTTTGGTTTGCCATTCAGCATGAAAACAAGTTGATATATGATCAATACGTAAACCTAATTTCAAGATTTTATCTTATCACGTTGATTTCTCGATTTTTTTGCAACTTTGACGCGTTCTGCCGGCACTTTAGCTCCCGGGAAACGGTTTGCCAATCATCAAACTAACTTTCTGACGTCACATACTATATGTACACGAAATTTCATGACTGTACTAATGACGTCGATTACCTTCGAAATTCTGCAACTTTCCCCGCTCGCCCCCAAATAAGTCCCCCAGACCGATCAGGACGTCCATGGATCAGGCAGACTCGCGCATTAGTGTTCCACACCATAAATGGAACCATTCCAGAAGAAAATTGTGACTGTACCGAGTCACGTTGAAACTCATGTAGCCCTTAGACTATAAGTAGAGCAGTTCTATTCTGAAACTGATTCCTTCGTTAATCAATCGAACAGCATTCAAATGCTACTTTCGTGTTGAAGGAATTTTCTTATAATGGTTGCTCACCTACAATTTTTCACATGAATAAAAAATTCTGATAAAAAACTTCACCAACCAGAACTCTTGAGGTATCTTCTGAAAGTGACAGAACTGTCATGGCTCACAAAGTGTACTAATAATCGCTGACATGTACGTGTTCATCATTACTATACACAATATTCACGGCATTCAATGAAGGAATATGAGAGACCTCCGTGAACGATAACGAAGGCATTATAGGCCTCAATGATCAGGTGTAGGCTGTAGGGGAGCATTTGATCTTGAAGATCCATTCTTGGATTCATTCGATCATAATTCATGAATGTAGAATATGAAAAATTTTTATCCTGTATCTCAATTAGTAGTGAACTGTCGAATAGGTCTCGGGTTAATCATAAATGATGAATATCGAGAAGGGCGAATGGACAATGGGTTTCAGTAACCGTTCTTGTTTTTTTTCTCATTTCTTTCTTGTATATTTTACGATGGTGCTTCATTCGTCTTTAATCGACCTTATACTCTACTTTTTTCCCTACCCGGTATATGAAGGAAGTTTGCCACGATCAGAAAACACGGTTAGGGGAAGTGGTATTTCGAGACGTAATCGCATATTGACTTCATAGAAATGTATGCATAGATCACAACTGGATAGGTTAATCTAGTTGAATACAGATCGATATATAGAGAATATAGATTCCAATGACTCCGAGATGATTTTTTTTATGAGATTACGTCACAAATCACCACTTCCTCTCAATGCGTTTTCTGATCGGCGCAACCTTCTTCTATAAATAATGGAGTCTACCAACCTTGACCCCATCACGTACAGAACTCGGTTATAGATTATTATGTATAGGTACTCTTAATAATTATTGATCCTCTTCTCCTATGCGACTTTATATGTTATGATATGACACTTGAGTATACATGTAGGAAATGTCAATGCAAAGTCAGTTGGACCAACACATCACCACGGGCCTTTGGAAGTTCAAAGAGAGCGGCAGCGCGGCCCAACATTCCTTTGATAATCTGTTTCAAATGACTTTTCATTGACTATACCTAACCTGAAACGATTTTGCAATTTTCTCTTATCTCTTCCATTATACAAGAAGAGATTTTCGTATATATCGAAGAGGCCAAATGAATGAAAATGAAGAAGTATACCAAATTTGACCTCATGTGTCCGTAATCTGATATGGCAATCAAAATACAAAACAATTCAACATTGAGTACCTATCACATTTTCCTCTCGAAATACCATCAAAAACTGGAAAACGAAACATACAAAGTGATACACCAAGATCAATAAAATTCGAACTCAAAAGAACTTGAGAAGTCCATAAACTTATGTGATTCATTAACAATAACTTTCCACATCATCATTGACATGTTGTACGATATGGAATATACCGGTTGATACGAGAAGACCTGCTTATTTATCGAAATGCGAATAATAAATAAATGCAAAGATGTATTGTGCTTAGTCCTCCTGGAATTGTATTCATTTTTCCGACACTGCTATATAAAATAAAATCGCATCGCTGTTCTCGGAAGGCTCCACATCGCCCATTCCAGTTTACACGAAAGATGATAGAAGATTGCCGCAGGATCTCGCAATGTGGTGAATATGTTAGAACTATCTGAGGTACCTATAAAATATATATAGCGGCAGGTAGCCCGATGTGAGTAGTATTATTGAATTATTGATATATCAATTAAAGGTATTTTTCGAGTTATATAAGAAAG